TTTTTGATTATATTGCTTTTTCAGGATCCGATAAATTCTAGCGATGGAGAAATCGTGGCAAGAAACGCGCTCATACTGGTTTGTGCATTTCACACATTCTAAAAACAGTGAGAAAATATGGTAACTCTTCCTCGCTATATGTGGTTTAATGGAAAATTATAGTAACTACTGCTCATTTCTTCATTGATGAGAGCTTTCTAGACACCGTTTGGTCAGAAAACTAGCATGCAATCCATTTTGGGAGCTGAACTGAACTAAGTACGATAGCAATCGGCCTACTTGTAGCGGAATTCAGCAATTCTAATTTGCCAAAGTATGGTTATAAATTTCAGCGATTGGTAGCGATATTTGAAAGAAGCTCGTGCGACTACGTTGCGGGTATCTTAAAATGACTGTCAGCATTTGGTCATCTTACAGTAAATTTGTAAATATACTGTCCAAAACATTGTGAAACTGGGAAATTTTTGCTAGCCCAAGTGTGTTTGTTCATTAATTGAGGTAAAATTTTCAGGATGGAGAAGATGGCAAAGCAGCATGAAAAATTGAGGCCCACTGCTGAATTACTGTACACGCCACGGAAATGTGATTCGACATCGCGTATCCTTGGACCGCGCGATTATGACTCAATAATGATCACATTTGCCCCGCTTCCAGGCGAACTTCCACCAAAAATGCTTCCAAGAATCATGGGGCCACTGTTAATTGGAGATTGTATCAGGTTTGTGCATTTTTCAGGATGACTGCAATGTTCTCCTTACCATAATGACAGAAAACAGACTTAGTAGGAAGGGGAGTATGGAAAAAGAGGATGGTTCTTTGACACCAGATTGCTTCGAGTGTACCGAGACACCTAATGCAAAAATGCCAAAACTGTCGGGCTATCAAGTGGGTATCACATGTTGGTGTTTCTCTGGAATGCTCTTACACGCCGAACGCAGCTGCGCCAGGTCCTTCGATCCTGGTTAAATTGCCTCTACTAGCAAATTCACCAAAATTTCCTAAAAGGAACACGAAGAAATGTATGCCGCTTATATTAAGCTAGGCAAAAAAATACTCCCCACGTAAAGCTTGTGCATATGACATCGTGGCCAAGCAAAACCAAAAACTTCGCATGACTTGATTTTTGTTTACCTGGCATTTGCCTGCGTATCTTCGCTCCATATCCTCTTTTCCTTTCCCTTCTTCAACTCTGAAGAAGCTACTGCGTGCTCCATATTATTTCGTGAGCCAAACGGTTATTGCCACCTGTATCTTGATTTAAAAAAAAAAAACACCACAGGCTGATTTAATTAACAATTTAAGGTGTTTAAAAAGTTTTTTTTTCGTTTTGCCAAATATGCTAATCAAGAAGTAGCAGTTTCTAGATTTTGTCCAAATTTTCAAATTGTGTGTCGTCATGAATTTAAACCCCAGAAGTTGAGAGCTCACCTCTGTTCGTAGTCCTTCCACACTTTTGCAGTACAGATATTCTCGAGCTATTTCTGTTGTTCGATTATCGGGATGTTATTAATGTGTTTGTTCTGCTCAGTTATGCGATATCTGGAAAAATACGTCGAATGGGCGAATCGGATGACTGTATCAATCGTTTGGCAACGCATGATGGTATACTGATGTTGAATCCGATCCCAAAATACAAGATTGAATATGAGGTGC